GAGGAGTTAGAGTGAAGACTGAAGGAGCTGAAAGGGTTTGTGGCACCATGAGGAGAGCAACAATACCAACCAACCACAGCTCCCAGGGTCCTAACCACCAGCCTGGGAGCACTTATGAAGGGATCCAGGGCTTCAGCTGAATATGTAAGAGTAGAGGGCCCTGCCGGGCACAGGTGGAAGATGAGATCCTTGACCTCATGAAGGCTGGATGCCCCAAGGGGTGGGAATTTTGAGGGTGGGGAAGTGGGAGTGGGGGGGGGTAGGTGGGGGTTACATCCACAGAGAAGAAGGAGGAGGGGTAAGGGGATGGGGGGTTCCCGGGTGGGTGGGGGATGGGGTAAGGGGATAACATATGAAATGTAAATAAAATATCCAATAAAAAAAACAAAAAAAAACAAACAAAAAAAAAGAATGAAAATCAGATCATTTTCATTTTCTTATCCATGGAGCTGAACAACAAGGAGGTTGGGTTTCATCTGATTCTAGAATGCCATATGAATTCAGTGCCAGAATCATGAGGAGCTAAAGTATAGAGCCAACACAAAACCTGTATCTGCTTCACTGACCTTGAAGCCTCCCATCTTTGGCACCACAGGTTTGTGGAAGGATAAAGCGTGTCAATTATGCACAGCCTGTCCAGGGTTCCTGTCCAAATTCCTAAAAGGTGGACTCAGTGTGGCCTTGTGAAGGAAATCACAACTTCTAGTAAGCCAAGAGGACATCATGAGTTACAAAAGATTGTGACTAACATAACACAGGAACAGAGAAATAAACGAATTTGTTCTCCATTCCAAAAAAGTTTAATCTACTCAGAAAAATATAGCATATGCTTAGAAGGATGATAATAAGTGGGGAGAAGGACATGTACTAGACAGATAGAGATCTAAACAAGGCAAGAGCAAAGAAAGTCCCACATTTAGAGATGTGTTGGTGTGACAACTGTAAACAAGGATATTCTGCTCTGTTGTAACTGAATTGGAACACAGATTTCTGAAAGCAGGCACGCATGTCTCAAGCTCTGAAGGCATTTCTCAAGTCACCTACACTGTTTTCTTAGGACAGTTCAGTTATGCATTTTGTCTTAAACTGTATTTGACAACATGATGCATCCAATAGGTTTACTAAATACATTTTCCTCCAACATTTCTATTTTTTTTCTAGTTATCAGATACAGACAAGTGAAGACACAGAAGGAAGAGGGGAAAGAGGAATGAGAGAGGACATAGCATTTTTGCAAATCAGTTTTTATAATAGCAAGATTTTTGCTTCTTTGTAATCATTTCTCCAAAAGGATACTTAGGTAATGTGAAACACAATCTCATGATCCCTGGGCTTTTCATTTCATATCTACACTTCATATATTGGGAGCTTTTCTAGAAACGTCTAGCTATGAGGGTGGGAGGGATTATCTAATTTTAATGTTATTCCTAAGTAGTTCAGTAGGTTTTAATTTTTTGTGACTAAAAGAAATCAGAAAAATCTGACATTAACATACTTAGGTATACATAGCAAGTGGTTGACTGCAACCTTTCAAATTCATACCCCAATCACATGAGACAATGCCCATACCTGAGAGGGAGAAGTCGCCCTTCTGGCTCTCACTCTCTCTGATTAGAAAGGCACCCGTCTGGTTTTCTGAATACAGAAGTTGCTTTTCTGCATCTGCTCTTTTGATTGCTCCAAAAAACCACCTAAAAAACAAGTGAGACATAAACCTCAATTAGCTAATCAGAATTTGTTTTAAAAAGAACAAGAAGAGTACATTCCAACATCAGAAACATTTGAAATTCTTCAGTGAATTCATCACACATATAAATGGTAGCTTTTGGTACTTGAGAAGATTTTTCAGGATGTCAGAAATCTTCTCTGGGATTACTAATGGAAGCACAAAGCAGAAATCTGGTTGGTGGCTGCTCCATGTCCTTCCTCGCCATTAATTTTCTCTAAGATCATGTACTTATATAATCATAGCCACAGACGACTACATGTTAACCTCACCAGCACTGTCAAACGGTCCACCACTCTTAAAGTGGGAACAAGTAAAAATACTTTCTCCATTCCTTAACTTTTTTTTTCCACCTCAATCACTACCAAAGCCCATGACAATACGGAATTATTTCTTATGCTCAAGGATATGCAACAAAAATAATTTGCTATAGAATTTTACCACTGGCACATTGAAAGCAGGTTCACGGCTTACTTAGCATACTGTGAGGCCTGGGTTCATTCTCAGCGCCATAAAAAGAAAAGAAAGAAAAAAACAAACGAAACCTAAATACCTATCACAGAGAATAAACGGTTGCAAGAATTAAGTGTAATTTTACAGCGTTGAAAACAAACAAACAAATAAAGAGTGCAAGAAAAAGTTGAATAACAATTCACAACATTGTGATGTCATTTATATAAAACTTGAGCAAGCACATTTTCAAAAATTTACATATTTTTATAAATATGTATATGCTTATTTAAAATGAATAGTTAAAATAGCCAAGCATTTCCAGAAATGTTTTTTAAAAAAAAAGTCTCCATGTATTTCCAGCAAAGAATCAACAGAGATGAAATATACTGACCACCTCTGTGAATTGTCCTAATTCAAGGGGCATTGATTATGCATCAATTTATCCAGCAAGTTACATTTTTAAAAATTATGGTGTATCCTATATTTTATTCTCATGTATTAATACTCCATTGTGTAGGTTTTATATGAATACATTACATTTGTATTTTGGATAATTGTCCATGAATGATGTGCTTCTGTGCAAGATACATACAAGCCAGCGGTTTGTGTAAATCCAATGATTAATGACAAGGCAATCTTCATTTGTAGAGAAACAATTTACTAATTTTCAGAACTTCTGTCTCAGCAATTCTGGACTTCCCTACATAGATCCAATTTAAGTGTTTGACTGAATGTATCTGTTTATGTCATACTTAGACGTTTGCTTGGCTCTGCTCCCATCAGGAAGAGAAGAACGTAAATGAAAAGTTATTTTCTGCTCGCAGCCGTATTATAATGCCATCCCTCATACTTGAAGATGACGCACCTGCTGCAGATTGTTATCTTTGCAGCATGTGATACTGTTGAGCCTAACGGGCAAAGAGTAACTCATTCCACTCTTTGCACCTGTGGAAACTCTTCCTTAATTTGAGGTGGGAGCTCCTGCCAGGACTGTTGCTGCTGTAGGCTCTGACTTTTAGACACCTAGTTGGCACCATTCTAAAAGGACATGAACGCTTCAGGCCAGGCTGTTCACCAAAGTATTTCAACCACCCTGTAACCTGCTGTCCTTTTGGGCAGTGAACAAACAGTGAGGTCCAAGAAGAGCTCTAGACAGCATAGGTCATATGAAGTGCCACAGAGAGTCATGTAGGTACGGTCTTCCAAATGTGGTCTCTGGTCCAAGAATATCAGCTTTGCATGGAACCATTAAAACGGAAATTCTCAGGCCTCAGTCCTGACCAACTCATGAGGACAGTCCAGGGCTATGGTCCAGCAATCAGGAGCATAAGAAACCTTCCACATGAATTTAGAATGTGTACAAGATGCATAAAAATAAGCCAGAGTTTGACACTTGGCTATGAAAAGGAATTATTCAGTGAAATGACACCCTATACATACAAACTCATATGCTTTATTGATACTTAATAAAAATGATGTTTTTATTATATCATACCATAACATACAGTATTCAAAAGAAGAAACCTGTGATAATTTGGATACTGGGAGAAAGAAGTGCTTCCTTAAGATTAAAACAGAGAAAATAAATGCCTGTCATGGAAGTACGACATACATGACCAAAGCCCAAAATGTGTTTTACAAATAATTGTCAGGTACCTATCATACTGACACAGAAATATCTGGATCCCAGTGTTGGATTAAAGTGCTAAATTTCTGAGTAATAGGAGCGTTGTATTTGTTTATATTTTTAAAACCAGAATGTGTGTACATGTATACAGATGTATACATATCTCTAAGATTAGTGAGACATGATGAAAGTAACAACAGGGGCCTTCAGTTTTCACTCTGTAGCCTTCTTTACAGTGTGGGGATTTGTAATGAGATGTAATTGCAAAATGATTTAACATCTACTTTAATTTACACAATAAAATGAAGTCACTTAAGAATACACACAAAAATCTACAGGTTACCAGGTCAAGATTCAAAATGTTGACAACCAAAACTGATAGATACAAGAAAAATACCACTGGAATCAGTGAGAGAGAAGTACATATGAACATACAAACAGATGGAACATGCCATCCAGGGTGTCAAACATTAATAACTCCAAAACATCTCAGAAGTACAGTCAGCCACTTAAGAATGGCAGCATGGTTGGGAGGTGGTGGTGCGTTCCTTTAGTCCCAGCACCTGAGAAGCAGAGGCAGATGGATCTGTTTGAGTTCAAAGCCAGCCTAGTCTACAAAGTGAGTTCCAGGATAGCCATGGCTATTACACAGAGAAACCCTGTCTCAAAAAAGAGCAAACATACACACATGCATGCACACACATGCACATAGACACATATGTGCTCACACACACAAACACACACCACACACACACGGTGAGAGAGTGAGAAATAGAAGAATAGCAGCATGGCAGTAGAAAATTCATTTAACCCTTTGTGTCTCAACTTTATCATTTGTAAGTGGGAATTACAGCAATGACCTTGTACTTATTGTAAGATTAAAAGAAATCATACATGTAAGAGCTTGTCCAGACCTGGTCATGCTAAGTAGCTTTGATGATAACTAAATAAAAAAAATTGTATGTTTGCTTTGGATATTCTAGATTTGAGTCATGGACAGGACCCCAGTTAATATTTGAACCGGATCTTATATCTCTAATTGCCCCAAGTGACCCTTCATTCTGTCCTCCTTGATAAATGCCACCTTATTAAATCAAAAAGACTAATGAAATCTGCATTATGATTAGCAAGTGATCATGTACAGAAAAAAAGAGACAACATTAAGAAAAATGAAGGGGATGGAGACATAGCTCCGAGGGTCAGAATACTTGTTGTACAAACCTGAGGATGGGAGTTCAAGTCTCTAACAACTACATAAAAATCTGGATTCGATAGTATTGCTCGGGACAGGGACAGACAATCTCTGGGGATGATTGGCTGCCGGCCTGCTTCCAGTGAGAGACCCTATCTCAAGGAATAAAACAGTTTGTGTACCCACACACACTAGTGCATACACCACACACACCCCTCAAAAACCAACAAATACTTCCCCAAAAAAAGCAGCATTAAAAATATCACATATAAATATGTTAAGTAATATCACATCTAAATACTATCATTATCAATCAAACATTATGCCATTATGAAAAGAACAAGCAAATAGACATATTACCTTCACTAAGAGTTCATTATTACATATACTAGAGTCTGAACTGCAGCATCAACTGGTAAAAATTGATATCTAGGTCACTCATAAATCTGAATAGATGTATATAATTTCCTCCTACAATTTAAAAAAAGCATCACTATCAATAAGTGCTGAGAACAGTTGATAAAAGTTGACCTCTAATATCTTACTCTGTGTCTTTATATGCTAAGGAAACTGGTCTGTAAATACCATAGGCAGTTTCTGGAGGTGAGGGAGGAACTATGCCTCATAAACAAACAAGGAACAGAAAGTACAGGTCAACTTGACAAACAGGGTCTCTAAGTGGCAACTGGGTTAGAACAACACAACAGTGGAGTTGAGGTTAGGATATCATCACCATCTATCATGACACATATATTTTTTAAGCTCTTTTGATTAACTTTATTGCATAGCCAAATTTACGTTAGCACAGATCAAACGATTGTTTGCATGGGTTACAAATGACTTTTAAAAAAAAAACAGGAATAAAACAGTGAAAATTACAATCTGTAAAAAGGAACACCAATCTTGTCTCAACATTTCAGAGAAGCAAGACTGAGCACAACACACTGGAGGTCAACACATACTTTTGATTTGAGAACAAGGACTTAATGTTACAATATCATACACACTACTTTACAAAATTAAAATTTCTATGTAAGGACTGTGTTTATAATAGTTAAAACTGTGAAATCACATTTGGTGGTCCCCTAGATAATAGCTGTTATGCATCTCTGATTAGAAGAAGTAAATCTTTTATTCTAATTATTGCAAAACAGTCTATTAGACTCAACACATTACATTAAATTAAAATATATGGAAGCTAAAATAACTGTTACTGCTTAAGTGAATATTAGTATGTCAGACTTACAGAAACATTATTTAAAAATTCTAGAAATTAGAAAAATGATTACTTTTATGGTAGGACTGCCATGCTCAGATTTATATATCAAGATTGCCCTTGGCTGTTACTTTAGTAGTTGTAGATCTGTAGAAAATTCAAGGATCTTTCATAATTTACAACAACAATAAAAAAATGGCATAGTGTAAATATTAGTTGCTTTACATCAGAAAGTAATACAGGATGGTAGGACAGGTAGTGTCTTACTGAAAATAAAAGTCAAAACTGAAAAACATTCAATATAGCAAAAAAATAATTCCATTAATATCCCACAAAGGTTCACTCTCTTGTCTGGAGAACAAAGTTGTGAACCCTAATATTTTTATGACTGTTATAAAATTACTCTGCATTGCACATTACATAATATCTAAAATAAAACTTAAAAGTACAGGCAGTGGTGGCACACGCCTTTAATCC